CATATTTCCACGATAACGGTTAATTTCAGCGGTCCATTTTCCGCCCCTTTGACAAATTTTTCCCGCTCACTCCCCTTTGCTTTTGCTTCACTCTGGCGGTGGCCCTTTCGGCGTGTGTGTGTGTGTGTGTGTGTGTGTGTGTGTGTGTGTGTGTGTGTGAGAGAGTGAGAGAGAGAGAGTGAGTGAGTGAGTGAGTGAGTGAGTGAGTGAGTGAGTGAGTGAGTGAGTGAGTGAGTGAGTGAGTGTGTGGCTGAGTAAGTGAGTTTGAGGCTGTGAGCGTGAGTGTGTGCGTGCAAGGAAAACTCATTTCACACATAAAAAAGTCTCGACTATCACCCCCCCTCTTTTCTCTCTTCAATCATCACGTGACTCGAAACACTCGGCGCCTGAATACAAACGATCAAATTCGCGGAAAAAATGGCGGGCTCACATCAACGCGAAAAGACACACCCTGAGAATTCAACAACAACCTTCTGTCCTCCATGACATCACGTGACTGAGAACACTTGGGGGAAAAATACTAGCCCGAAATTTACCTCGACTTTCTCGACCAATCACGAACCCGGACTGAAATTACCTAGGCTCTCTCGACCAATCACGAACCCGGACTGAAATTACCTCCACTCTCTCGACCAATCACGAAACCGGACCGAAATTACCTCGGCCTCTCGACCAATCACGAACGACCAGTCACACAGCTCGGATGACTGGCAGCCAATCACACGCTGGCGACGCTCTCAGCTGGGTGTAAATTCGCGGCAATTTCCGACTTTCCCCGCATACGGACACACACAAGGACAAGCTAAACCACACATACACATACATAAAATACAGATGCACACGCACTGGCAAAAACAACTACGGGGCAAATTCGCTCGTAAAGATTTTTAAAAATCCACAGACATAATCAAATACTCAAAAAAGAAAGAAAGAAAGAAAAAGAATTCACAAACAAACGAACATACACACAGATAAATGCGCACGTAATGACACAGCCCAGCAAATGCATTTAGTCATAAATGCGTTGTGAAACGAAAGAGCATGAAACGCCCAGAAAATAACATTATAAAGTCTACAGTGTTTCGCGAAAGGCCCATTTTCCATTCTCTTCTATTTCTTCCATTTCTTTTATATATCAGACCTTTTTTTTCTCGCGCTTTTTCCCTCATCTTATTCGAAGAAGCGATGTAGCTTCTGACTCTTAAAGTGGCTTTTATTTTCCCATGAAAATGCATTAAAAACTCATACAAGCATACAGACACCAACAAAGGCACACACACATTCACAGACAGACAGACACACGACTTTACGGCCCTCGGTACAAGAGTTTCTTTGTTTCTGTACGACAATGGGGAGCGTGCCAGCAACATTGCCATGGGAGACCCCCTCCCCCTCCCGCCCCCTCCCCTGCCCATACGGCCATCCGCCTTAGGCTGCGTGAGGATGGGCGGGGGGGGGGGGGGCACAGAAAGGGAGGGGGCGTGGGTTGACCTAGAGTTGGGGGAATGAGGTCATACAGAGGATGGGGGTGGGTGGACACAGAGGGGGGTTGGATGGGAGGCAGAAGAAAAGAAAATTAGAAGAAAAATTCTTACGCAGAAGAAAAGGGGACAAGGGGAGAAATACAAACAAATGAAGAACTGGAAACGTGTTATATAAAAACGAAAAGTTTTGAAACCAGACAGAATAAAAAAAAAACAGACAAACAAATTTATAAATAAACAAATAAAACGTTGACACAAAGAACCGACGGGAGAGCGAGTATCGATTACAAAAAAAAGAAACATGAAAGAGTCAAGAACAAAGGAAAAACAAAAATAAACATAACCAATCAGACAACCTTCCCCCACACCCCGAAAAAATGAAAGAAATACAACCGTTATCTCCATCTTTTAAAAAAAACCGTCCATCATATTTCTTCAACGAATTTTTCTTTTGAATTTGCCCGCCTTTTTTCCATAAACAAATAGCACTAAGTCTCTATTAACATTCCCCTTATCCTCACTATTATTCATATCATTATAATTCGTTGCTACCATCATCATAATTACCATCATAATCATCATTATCAAGACTCAACACGAATATTCTCCTTATTACGTCGGCCAAGGAGGTCATGTTCCTGGCAGCGCTGGTTAGTTTGTTTGTTGGTTGGTTAGCAGGAGAAATAAAAAAAAAAAACATTATAAACAGATTTATATGACTTTTTACCAGAGGTGTGTTTGACCCGAAATTAGAGGCCACTAAATTTCGGATTCAGGATTCTTAAAAAAGGATTCATGAGCATTTAGAGATCGGGACAACTTTAACTTTTGGACAC